TGATGACATCACTGCTCATCTGAAAGCTCTGTATGAGGCTGATTTCATTAATTTAGAGGCTCCGGGTGTAAGCCAAAGTGTCGAAGACAAAGAAGCGCTTCGAATCGTGAAGTCTTCAGTGTACAAGGATGGTCATTACGAAGTACCATTGCCGTGGAGAACGGCTGAAAGACTTCCTGACAATTGTCGCCTAGCCCGCTCTCGATTGCAATATATAAGGAGGCGTTTTGCAAAGGATCTGACTTTGTTAGCGCGACGCAGAGAACGCATAAACAATAGCATCATTATGGGCTACCTCGAACCTGTATCCGCTCACCAATCTAAATCAGGGGGCGAAAGGAAGTGGTATTTAACTCATCACCCCGTTTTGACCCCGAGGAAACCAGGACAGCTTCGAGTTGTCTTAGATTGCGCGGCCAAGTTTAAGGGTGTATCCCTGAACGATAGATTGTGTAAAGGCCCCGACACTACTGCGAGCTTGACAGGAGTTCTCTCGCGCTTCCTGAGTGAGTAAGTTGCTATGGCTGCAGACACTTCCAAAATGTTCATGCAAGTAAAGGTTCCCGAAGCCGCAAGGGTGGCGGGAGGTCTGAGAAAAGAAGCAGGATTTTTGTCCTCAAGAACAACCTACTGGACGAAAACAACCATAATGCTCCACCGTATACGGAACACCGCCACTCACTATGGTACCTTCGTGGCAAACATAATCTCTAGGATTCACCAGTTGTCGTCAGCCGGTGATTGGCGTCACGTAATGGGTGAGGACAATCCGGCAGACTTAGCCTCTAGAGGAGTAAGTCTTCTGACTGCTTTCCGATATTGGCTCAAGGGGCTGGCCTTTCTGGAAGCGTCCAAGGCTCAGTGGCCACGCTACGAACCAAATTTCGTACCAGAAGGAATAGAATTGAAGACGAAACGTGCTTCTGGTAACGTGACAGCCACTTCGGAACCAGCTGGGTTGTATCTTTTAATGGAAAGGTGTTCCGGTTGGTCTAATCTTCCACGATCTGTGGTATGGTTGACAAGGTTTAAAACGTACCTGAGAATGATGGCAAGCGGTTCAACTGAATCCTCACTGAACACTGGAGGATTGAAACTCACAGAAGTGAGGCAAGCTGAGCGTGATATCATTCGCATGGTTCAGAAGACGGTATACCCAGCAATCATGCTGAAATTAGAACGCGCCGGTAAGGTTGACGAACGAAGCGTACGCAACCACAAACTAATACGCTTATGCCCGATATTGATAGATGGCTTGCTATGTGTAGGAGGTAGGTTGGATAACCTTTTGTGGCCGCATGTTGCTAAACATCCTATCATACTACCTCCGAAGCATAACGTCACCAGGTTGATAGTTTGGAACGCTCACGTGCTGAATGGGCATTGTGGACTATCACATACGTTAGCCGAACTGCGCCAAAGATATTGGGTCGTTCAGGGAGTATCGATGACTAAGCGGGTGCTCCATAGTTGCTGGACGTGTCGAAGGAACCTTACAACGGCTTCACGACAAGCTATGGCGCCACTGCCGGTCGACAGGATCCAGCCAGGCTGGCATCCCTTCAAGATAGTTGGGTGTGACTATTTTGGACCACTGACAGTAAAGAATGGAAGAAAGACTGAAAAAAGGTATGGCTGTTTGTTTACCTGCTTACAGATGAGGGCAGTGCACCTTGAAATGGCCCATTCGTTATCTTCTGACTCCTTCATTAAGGCGCTGATGCGTTTTATAGCACGAAGGGGAGCCCCAGAAAAGATTATCAGTGATAACGGTTCTAATTTCGTCGGGGCGGAGATGGAATTGAAACGAGCCATAGATCGACTTTCACATTCCCGCATCAGCGCTGAACTAATGCGGTATAACGTCGAGTGGCAGTTCACTCCACCGTTGAGCAGCCATAGAGGCGGAGTATGGGAACGTCTCATACGTTCCGTAAGGCGGATACTAAGGTCGACAGTAAATGAGCAGAATGTGAACGACGAAGAACTAGTAACGTTTCTTACGGAAGCAGAGCGGGTAATGAATGGACGCCCTATTGTGCCCAATCAAACCAACTATTTCGACAAGCCGGCACTGACGCCGAATGACTTGCTCATTCTCAATAATAGGGTACACGGAGTTGTGCCGGAAAGTATAACAGAGAGGTATACGAGAGGTTGGCAGCAGGTGAACTACTTGACTCAAGTATTTTGGAAGCGCTGGGTGAAGGAGTACGTACCTCTGCTTCAAGAGCGAACTAAGTGGCAGAAACCTCAGAGGAACTTCAGGAAAGGGGATGTAGTCCTGGTGCAATCAGGTGCGTTCTCTCGGGAACAGTGGCCCGTAGGCGTGGTTGATGAATGTGAAACGTCGGGTGACGGTTTAGTTAGGACCGTAGTTGTACGCACACGAGATGGTAGGCTTAGGAGGGATGTGCGTAAGATCGGTTTGATAGAGTGTTGTGAGTAGGGGTGGTGGAAGGAGATGGGAACCGCGCGCTCAACTCTCCGCAGGTGGGAGATGGGTTTTCGAACTCATCGCATACAGAGAGACCACTGGGAGTTGGCGCGTGAGCAAGTTCCGTTTGGCGTACTGCTGTAAGTCCACTCGGAACTTGGGGTAAGTAAAATATTTGAGCCAGGAATGACCATAGCTTGATGGAGGAAAATCCACTGGGATTTTGGGTGGCGGTGTAGAAGACAGCTTGCCAACAGTGTGCTCCCGTTTCCAACCCCAAGTGACAGCCAATCCCCATATTTATTCCCCTTGACCAGATGAACTGAAACCTTCTTGTTTTACTGAACTATTTTTATAACTCTTACGGACTTTGGTCGGACATTGTGATTTTGCGGTTGCTCGCCGTCGATATCTGTTTGGTTGTGACGATATCGATTTTGAGGCGTAGTGATCTGCGCTTTATCCTCAGGCTGGTAATTGTACCGCCTTATTTTTGTAACCCTACGGTATCTGCAGAGGAGAATCCGTTAAGGTTTGTTGAATATGTATATTATTGTATTTGCAATAGTACCGTGATTCCAGAATTCGGATTTCTCGGTCGTTTTCCTGGATTGGCACGCGTGACTCAAACTCAGAAGGCAGATAGTCGTAACACCGTGATCGTGCCATCTATCGACTAACTCAAAAAGTGCTACGAGAAGGTGTAATCCGAGGAGGGGCATTCAAATCGATACCGGGAACCCGCGGGTTTCTAACAGTCTGCTATGGCTTCTCGTGTTTTGGCAGCATGCATAACCTATCCAAGGCAACTTGCGCAACTGTAGCTTAATCCAAATTGGACAGTCTGGTTTAAAGTTTTTATGAACGGCAAACCTCAAGTACTGTGATAGAATAATCGGCAGTAAATCGTTTACGGAATGAAAATGCTTCGGGTTTGAAATCAGACACTGAATTGTTCTACTGTGGATAGCCCAGCCTTGAAGCTGCACCGACCGAATGGGAGGAGGTAGAATTAAATGCCGATATGACACTTCGTCAACGCCATTCACATCGGGAAGCGTCCCGCTAACAGTAAGCTGTACAAGCTTGTTGTCCACTGAAGAGAGGACCTAGAGAAGGAATATTATTTACAGCACCCTCAGTGGATTTGGCGCCAAAAAGGTCTTCAGGGGATAAGTCACGTTTTTGTTTTTAGGTATTTTTATGGTACTTCGAAAGGCATATCTCCAATTATTGGGTCCGTAGTTTCCGGAAGCCTTTTGAGGTACGCCATATATCGGTTAAACGATGGCAAACCTCGGAGCCTCTGTTTACTGCAACTTAACGAGGAACGGTCGATACGTATAGTGTACAGTGCACCCTGACTACGTAATGTGATTTGCGTACAGTTTCAGGAAGCCAAAATGGGATAAATCAACTGGCCTAGACTTGTCGTGGAATTTGGTGGAGTCTGATTTGAGGACTTCCAACAGCAGCAAAAGTGTGGGTTTTGTAATAAGCTGGGGACAACTGAACGAAACTGCTTGTAATGACTCGACAATGTATTCATATTGGCGAGATTCAAAACTGGTGTATCATCTGCCGATGACGGCAATAACCATCAGATGTGGTAGAAGAAGGGATCAATCAGGTCATTATCTGAGGTGTGAACCACGATTTTTGGGTTTTCTGACGACTTGGTACGGAACTGCTCTCACGGACATTCTTTTCAGTCACCTTCAGGGGAGTCTGTTGAGGCCGCGTTTTGTTGCACCATCTAAGATGACCTTCCTGAACCAGAATGAGCATTATCTTAAGGCGCGATCAACCTCGCTACACCTGTTTTTCGAGTACCGAAGCGATTCTCATATGCGGTTGATTGTGCTGTTTGGTCCACATAAAAATTTGATTAGATCGGTAAGGGATCTGTGACCATCAAACATACCAAATAACAACTGCAGAAAAAGCTTCAAGCACCCCTAGCTAACAGTTTGGTCATTCTTTGGACGAATTCTAGGTAATGTTTAATTTTTCAGTCACCCATTTGGAAAATTTTACCTTGTACAAAACATGACATCAAGCACGCTTTCGGGTCCCTTGCCCCATTTTTGGCATACGAAAGAATTAGTTATGCAGTTACATGCGGATATATTGTAGGCATGTTGTTTGCATCATTATTAGGTATTCCAAATTTTAATGCTACGAGACATTGCCGCATAGCTTGTTTCTTCAGAGTGGGGCCCATCACCGCTCAGTATTCGCAAGTTGGAACTGATTTCTCGAAAGCTACGGCATTTTCAAGCTTGTCACCTCATAGTGTAAAATGTCTATGTATAATGTATATGTTCCTGTATTATTGGGGATCATCTACTATGGCGATTTGTTTAAGTGAGCGAGTCCTCAAGGTCAATAAACACCGCCGACTGTGAATACCTTGCCTGATGTGATCGAAATTCGTGAATTGTGGAAAACAGTGATTCACTTACAATGGGCAAAACTTTCAGATAATTTTCCACCCGAAACTATTCTCTGCACATTCTAAAATCTATATGGTCTTTGGAGATGCGAAATAAGCGTAGATGCATTCGTGCAAGCAAATTTCGTCCATGATTCCTGTTATCAGTTACAATTCCGCAATCCACGTGCATTAATTGCTGCAATTCTTGCAAGTTTGCTGGAAAAAGCAGTTTTTTTATTATAGTTTGCGTACTATTTTAGGAAGACCCCGAGGTTGGCCGATTAGCAACCCGGGACCCTCGTTTATCATAGCGGACAGCAGAACGAACGTAGCTGCTGCACATGACTAACACGCGGCTAGGTGTACACGGTGGCGGAGCGCATCCATCATTCTGCACCGGAGGGAAGGCCCAAAATGGACGTCATGAAATGTTAAGATATAATAATTGCTCATTTTGAAGTGCACATATGTCCTTCCGGGAGGCGCATGGTCTTCTTCGTGAGGAGTATTCATCTGGCCGTTGACCTCCTGAAATGAGAGGAAGATGCCATCAAGGTGATCGAAATATCACAATAAGGTGGGTGGCCGACAAACAGGTAGAGATACTTACCTCAAAATGCATTTCAGCGGCTATGTTATC